CACATAATTCATAAAAACTTGTCATAGAAAACTTGCTCGTCTGTAAGAGGCTACTTGTAACCTATAATAATCCAAAACTTATGTTTTGTTGATCATTTGTATACGTCCGGTGTAACACTTCCGCCTTCTATTAGAAATTAAAATTCAATCATTCTAGTGCTGAGTTATATCGCGTCCTTTGTATTTGTGTCGAACGTTTTTGCAACTTCAACAACTTCTTGCAAAGTAACTTTGGCACGTTCACCTTCCTTATGTCAATTGTGGTCTATAATATGACCTTTGCCAATAAGTTTAACACTGAGTTATTCTGATGTTAAACCCGATATAAACTGGTCCCGCATGATTCCATCTTCAATACTCTCGACACTGAGCTCGAACTTTGATTTCGAACGCGACTCCCATGAACTTATCGATTCACCATGATGTTGCAGGAAGCGAATAAACCGCTTTGGTCGTCCTATATACCATATATAGCTAGCTTAGACCTATAGACTGTATTTGTAAAATATATACAGCTCTCGCTGAAGAGGCTCAAAGACAAGCTATTCCTTTGTAGGTCTTATTTCATCTTTTTCCTTCAGTTGACTTTGCGGGGTCGTAGTAATTACTCAGCGAACAGTAATCTCTTAACATCTTCTTCAAAAATCTCCATGTTGCGCTTGTGGTCACCTGTGCTTTTGAATACTGGGAATGGCAAGTTTTGCAGTCATTATATTTTTTATTTAATATTGAATTGCTCTTGTAAGCCGCGACAACAACCGTGTATATATTTGAACTACGAAGAAATATACAGAGCACCCCTGCATAGCTAAACTCTCACATGCAAGGGGAGCAAAGAAAGGAATAATTCTTGGCCAGAAGGAGAGTTCAAGAGAGAGCGACTAAGATATAATTATGAACATGATGCAGTAAGCAATGACAAATTAAAGTAATATAAGGACGGCTGAATCTTGCCAAGCATGTGTACAGCATAAACAATTTTTTTCAATTCAAGTGCATGGTTCTAAAACTGATCATATATTTGCCTATCAGCAAGGATGAATCGTGTGCACAAAAAAGCAGCGTAAATTAACCGAGTAAATCTTTTTTATTACGTTCGCCTAATTTATTACATATATTGCCAGGAACCTACTATGTATACTGGGTTATTTGTTTCATCCAGTATGTGTATAAGGTGCTGTCTGCTGTGGTAAGGTTTCAATTGCAAGTTTGCATGTTCGTGTTATTTATAAATGTTCTTTGGTATGTTACATTTTTATCACGTTTAATGGTATTTTTACTAAATATATTTGTACAAACATAATTATGCACATTGCATGCAAATAAACTGAAATATCGCTAAAAATAATACCGTTGACACTTTCATCAAGTTCTTCATCAACTTTCATCAAGAATTTTCGTGATTAACGGGAAAAAGGATGATGTGAAAAGTTGTTCAATAGAATGGTTGGTAAACTGAATCACAAGATTCCAATTTGAATAGATCAATGTTAAAATCTCCCATCAAGTAATATAATTTATTTTCCCTATCTATATTTTCCAAAATTTATTTCATCGATCTTTTAAATAATTCGCAATTGCAATTTGGTGGTCTATAAATTATATTACAACAATAATGATATTTTTGCCACACTTATTCAATTAATCGCATTTCGACTGCATCGTTTACGTTTCTGTCAAAACCAATCCGACTCTAATTGTTTTGAAACATATAAACCGACATACATCACCGCCTTTTTGTATCTGCGATACATTATCATTATACATTATTGGTATCAACAATAAATTATATATAACATACTGTACAGGGATAATAAACAGATTATACAACAAATAGGCAATAGAGAAAGAACGATATGAGAATGAGGACAAGTCAGCTTCACCTAGCTCAAAATAGATTTTATTATCCGTTTAAATGATTGAATAGAATCCGCAGTTTTTGCTTCAAAAGATACATTATTTCAATGGAAAGCTCCATTGCATTTGAAAGTTCTTTTCAGAAATTCTTTTTTAGGTTTTGGTAATATTAAATCCGATTCACGATTTTAAAGATCATAGGGGGGATCGCCTCATTGCATCGTCGAAATAAATGTTTTAAATTTGGAGCTGTATGATCATTAATTATTTTATACATGTAAATTGATTTAATATTATTACGTCTCACGTCTAGAGACTCCCAAAGGGGGCTACAGTAATCAAAATACGGTTGCACCAGAGCATTAAAATATAATGCTCTAGATGATTATAGCTATATCAGCTTGTCGATGAGTGTTTCCTGAGGCACAAAAGGCTTCAACCCCATAACTCCAATACCAGCCCCAATTCTCGCACAGATCTATAATTTGTTTCAGATCTATAAAATGTTTCCTCAATTAAGCCGTTCGTCAACACCCAAGCATGTATAGTTTTCCGTTCTGAGAGCTGGTGTGTTATTGATTAAAATTGGGTTAACGTTCTGAGCTATCAGTTTATTCTTAATGTTAAAAGTTGATCCGATAAACATGTCTTTTGTCTTTTTTCGGTGAATTTGGAGCTTATTTTGCTTACTTTGGGTGAATTTGGACTCTTTATTGAAATTTTGGCTTCAAAAATCTTGTTCTGTGTTTTTTTAACAAAGTTTTTCTGAACATGGAAACTTATCCTCATGAGGTAAATAGTCAAACAATCTCTTCGGAGATCAAAACAATCTATTCGAAGATCTAAATAGTCTCTTCCGGGATGATTAACGAAATCTAAAGAAATTCACCAGCAAAACATTACACATTTATATTATATAGATAGCAGCTGCGTTAAGTGCATAAATTCAGATTGCTATACGCGTAGCTTTTGTTGTCGCCACGGACCGACTGTACGGAAATTGACAAAGAAAGAATTGCCTTTAAAGAGAATTATATGAGCTGTGAGAAAGAGAAAAAGTAGATCCACTTTACTGTAAAGCCGGTTTTCCTGTAGCGCCGGATATTTTTCGCGCGAAGCGACTTTATTCTTTTGTATTTTGAGCAGTTTGTTCCAGATGGGTGCACTTGAGAGCTCTGGAACAAAAGTAAAATGTCGATTCGCGCGCAAAAAGTATCGCTAGTGAAAAATCGGCTTAAAATATTTTCAACATTTTGTAAGAAATGCCCCTAGGTCATCCATTTTAAATAAGATAGCTAGTAATATCGAGCAATGTTCTTTTCAATTTGTGCCAATGCGACATATTTCTATCAATTCATTCGGATATTTAAAGCATTTTGTCAACTTAGTAGAATTACATTTATGTAGTAAAAAATCATTTTGCAATGTTTTATATAGTCAAAAGATAGAAGGTAATATGACCCAATATCACATATCTCAAAAAAACTAATGTTGTCAGGGGATATTCACAGAAATCCTGATCCTGTTCAAGACAACAGTCCCACTAGCAAACGCTACAACGCTTTCATTTAAGACCATTTGATGTTGGTGGTGATGGCGATTGCTTTTTTCGAGCCGTGTCTCAGACCCTGAGCACCATCTACAAGTTCGAGTATTTGGCATTGCTTATATGAAGGCTAATTCTGAGAGGATAATTGAAAATAACACTGAAGACTCATGGTTCTCAGCCTATAAGCAAAGAAGAGCAGAATATATGAAAAAATACATGAAGGAAAAACAAGATAATGAAACACAGAACCCTGATGCTAAGCAAAAGCGAAGAGCATATGCAATGGAATATATAGGTAACGCAAACAAGCCAGTAAGACCTCCAAGCTCTCAAAACAGAGCACTCTATATCACTCTAATGACTGACATTACTACATATTTCTAAGCATATTTCCTATTGCTTGAACAGCGGTAAGAAATAGTGTAGGTAATCATCAAGCCCCATTCACCATGCAGTAGACGGGAAATCAAAAAACATGGCCTAATCCATATGGTCCATTTGCTGTCCAAACTAGATTGTTGTGAGCAGATACATGTACGGTTAACATACCTATTTTTTTATTTGGCTTGTTTGAGCCAAAATATTCATGATTACTAGTAAAACAATCCATGCATGATATAATTGTCATTCAGCCAAGTCTCAGGTAGTCCGATTATCCTAGTATAGTCCTTTTAAGGTATATCTAAAGCATCGAATTTATGTGCTATACTTCTTATTGTCGCAAAAAATTCTTTTCCATGCATTTTTCCTCTTTTAATTTTCGTCTTAAAATCTTTCGGTAGAAAATAGTCGCAGCATATATTACTTATGTTAAAAGTGGTATCACGTTCTAAATTATTGCCAGAAAATGCTACATTTTTACTCGATTGAAAAAGATTAAATCTTAATTGGCTTAGTCTAGCCATGTCGTTTTGGATTCCTTGTGGATTCCTTGTATAATTGTCCATAAATATATTATTTATGTGCCTGCGTCTCTTGCCTTCTTCATCTCGATATGCGTATATAGACGTTTTCTTGCTCCCACAATTTCCTCTGGGTTCTGTTCGGAGACAGCTATACCCGTACCTTTTGATTTCATTGCGCTTGTCAGGATCTGCATTTAATCTGGGAAGTAATTGAATTTGGCAACGATTCATGTGAATACATATATTCCAGATTTTAAACAAGAGTAAAACGAAGCAGTTCACCACTCGAATTAATAAATTCTCAACTTTCTTCACGGACTTGTGTATTGCTGTTGAACACTTTAAAGGACCCAGTTTTCTCTTGCAAATATATGGGTCTACTGTTTCCCAATTTTTTTTTACCTAAGGAGCATGACGCATGTCAAAGAGGAAGGGTTTCACAGATCACAGTTACAGTGTAGCAGTGGATTGAAAACAAGGTCTTTTCGCGAAGTTATTATATTAGATATCTGCCAAATTGATCCGGAAATCTTTCCAGATAAATTTCCAGGTAAACATTGCATTTCTCTCAGGTATGATGGCGTGTTGAAAGCTTGATTATGCTCCGATGACGTCACACTGGCGCGCTCATATTGCTTCAGCACGTAATTCCGGTTGAAAGAAAGTATTATATTCGATGTGTAATTTTTTCTCTGTTGCATTATCTGCAGTGTCTGTTTCCAATTAGAATTCCGTGTCAATATGGCCAGGTGTTTCGCGCTTATTTTGCTGATTTCGGCTGTAACCAGGTTTGTATGAAGCTTGTTACTATCTGAGGTATATTCATATATTAAATACCGAAGTATAGACTTAGATAAATACACATTATCATCTCGTATTCAAATTGTTTGTGTGAGATTTTCTGAGCAATATAGTCCATTTAATTGAACGTCCGTTTGCTAGTGCGCGAACATATTGCGCGCTTCAAAAAAGGACAGTGGTTGGTGTTTCGTGCAACACAAGAGAAACAACCTAATTGAACTTTCAACTGTGTAACCTATAATACTCATCCTTTCACGTCTTAGCCAAATACAATTTAACGCGATGTTTTAAGCGCCTCGTCAGGATTTTCGTCGCCTCGTCGCCATTTTAAGGATTTTCAGGCTCTGGTTGTGTTAAATGTGTTAAGAACAGATTCTACTGTTACGTTGATCTTAATTTGCTCGTCAATGGTGTCTGAATGTGATTCAGCGCACGCAATATTTGCATGTATAACATCCTAGAAACTGCTCTACAATTTCTAGAGACTTCTTGAACACAATATAGAAAATCTCTTATTGTTTATTTGGCGGATTAATGAATTAAATCCTTTGTGAAATTTTTTAGATAAACGATTTCCCAATATCATGTTATCACATGCAGCTATCATCTTGCATAGTTGAAGAGTATTCAAACATTTTCCACAAGGTCATACAATCATCTATAAAAATACAATGATTGGCTTCAATTTCTCAAAGAAATTTACACGAAAGCACTAAAAGTATCAATTAAGAAGTCCTGTTTTAATGATATCAACAATCACGCGCCCTTATCTGACCTTGCGCTTTAAATATAATTATTGTTTGTTGATTGGGTTTCTCGATTACTTTGCCTCTTTTTAATCAAGAGTTATCCAGTTAAGATTAGGCTAACCTCATGTACTAACTCTGGATCAAGAGATGATCCATACTGGACTCTAAGCAGAACAGTTTAGAAATGATAGAGCATTAGAGCTATCGAGTTTAAATAAAGTTTAGTTTAGGTCTCCTCCTGTAGTGACACTGCATGGATCAGTAAGAGATGATCCTTACTCGACCTTTAGAAAGAAAAGTTTAGAACTGATAGGATTTCTGAAATGCATTGCCTAATACTCTAGTAAATATTTTCCTCTCAAAATATAGCGCAATTGACCTTGAGAATACCCAGTACCTCATCACCACGCCTTATCATTATTATATTGACCAGAATGAAACAATCAACGTTCAAATTTTTGGAACAAAACCTTGCGCAGTGAATGTTACACTTAAATCCAGATATAATTCTCGGCTTGTCACCTCAGCGAATGGCACCTTTGAGCCAGGAGAACGGGGAAATCTACCAATTTATGTAATGTATATATTTTACTTTATGAAAACACGCATCCATAGGAATCTATAGCTGGGACCTGTTAGGAGCTAGAAAAAATCGTTTGGAAAATTCTTTAACGCTCAGTTTTCACACCATGCGTTCCGACTACGTCAATAAAGAGGTTTATATACAAAGGAAGAAAGTGGACAGAAGTAAAGGTTTCTCTTTCATATTTAGATTCCAGGAAACGTTGTAACAGGTCGTCGCACATACTATGGAACAAATCTAAAACTTCAAGCAAATGTTTGTGGTAAAAATTCGGATGAAGTTGACGTGTTTGTTTCAGGGAGGAGATACGACCATATTGTTTACATACAAACTGATAAGCCAATCTATAATCCAGGACAAAAAGGTAAGAGATGTTTAGGTGACTTTAAAACGTATTTTTAAATGTTTTTGTGTAAGTATATAAGGCCTTGCAATATATGATCTTGTCCACGACAAGGACATTCCATTTCTGTTCAGTTCAGTTCAAGTAGTCGACGAACAGTAGAATAAAGCTTAAGAAACAATGAAATCGATATTTTGTATTATTGTGTGTATTTCACTGTGTAAGTGAAAAAACGCCATACACGGCTTTTGATTGGACGTACGATATTTTTCACACGTGAAAAATTGTCGTATGTCATTTTGGCGGCAATTTGTTAACATTTTTTTCAAGATGGCGTCGAAATATAGGAGTGAGATTTAAAACATAATTCTCAAATTCAAGACATTATCACATTCAGCACATTATGAAATCTTTCGGAAAGAATAACTAACTTCTATTGGACAAAATTACAAAGAAACTGAACGGTAATACATATGTTTTGATACGCAAAATTTCGATTTCTGTTGCTCGTTGTCGTGGTGTTTTAAGTTGTATATAGTATATTAAAAGCGTGTCGTTGTTAAATTGAACTTTATAGACTATACACATTTAATAAACAAATTTACTTTACGGTTGACACATTCGTAGGATTTTTATCGTGCATAAAAATCGTACGCACTCGACAACCGTGAAGTAATCTCTATTTATCCATAAACCAACCATGTTATAAACAAACTATAAGGCCTTAAGGGGATGTTTTCATGATCTCGCATAGTCGAGATCAAACGAGGCGTGAATTGACTTTGAGATATTTAAATGAGAATTAATGTTCTATTTTTTCAAGTTCGCATGAGAATCATCGTACTTGACAGAAAATTAAAACCAAAAGAAGGAAAGGTAAACGATCGACTCGACTACATAATATTAAGTTTAGGATTGCAATCTTATACTGTATGCCAGTATACATGTATGTCAACGAGCGTTCGACTTTTTTAGCAATCTTTTTGTATAAAATCCGTGTTCTCTGTGTTTTAATTTCTTTTTTTGTCTTTCAGATCGACAGCGTTCGTGTGGTAAGGAACTTAAAAATTTACTTTTAACCGTGATAATCGAGAGTCGTAGACAACTATAAGAAGCAAAATCACCCTTGTTTCTGCGCTAAAAATTTCCGATAATTGCTTCAGCTGAGATGTTAAAACATTCTGAATTTAATTCTAGCATAATTTGGGAGCAAACGAAAGGGTTGTTCAGGTTTTCCCACTTTAGTTTAGCACCTCATTTTAACAACTGCCAAAAGGCAACCATAAGGAAGTTAAATTGTATGGTGCAGTTAAATGAACCTGGCTTATTTAAACCATTATAGACACTAGGAGACAAATCTGTGCAGTGGATATAACACCATATACTTTGATATAGAGCGTCTCAGCTTCGAGGATTAACCAGTGGGATAATGTCGAACTTCAGGACGGTTTTGAAAACCTTGAACTACAGTTATCCAAGGAGCCTGTTTTGGGACAATATGACATCACAGTGATTGTTGGTGTAAGTAAATGATGTCTTTGCTCCATTGAGCTTAAAAAACGTGTAGCTTTTTCAATAAAATGAAATTTAAACTCTATCAAAATAATATCTCAAAACCCAATGATTCATGTAAAGTTGGAAATTAAATAGGCCTAGAAATACTTCCTTTTACAAGCGAACTGTTTATTGGTTTTTTAGAAAAAAAGAACAACACAAAGATTTGAAGTTTCTAAATATGGTTAGTGGAGTAAGGAGAGGATTATCTCGAGCCCAAAGCCTAAGTATTTCACCTTAATCCATGCATAAGGAAGGATTCTATACCGCTGATCAATAGGAAAGAGTCCTCCTTTTTAGTGGTATAAAACTTCAGACCCCATCACAGCTGTTCTTGGCAGCTTTATACCACTATAGATTAAGGACTTGTCTTAAGTATTTTACCTCAAAATACAGTTTATAATAAGTGTTTTAGCATTATAATTGAAAGTATTAATAACTTCTTGTTAACCGAGCGCGTGGTCTTTACCGAGAAATATCGGACGGAGGTCTTTTGGTACAGACCGAGCTCGAAGATCGAGGTTTGTACAAAAAGATCGAGGTCCGATAGTTCTCGGTAAAGACCGAGTAAGCGAGGTTGATAAAAAGTTTATAATATGGCATAAGGCATGTATTTTTGCACTTGAAACAAACAAGAAATGCATGAATTCGTATTAATAGCCTGGTACGCATTTGATAAAAACAAAAACAAAATATTGAATTATTTAGTTTACCTAAACTGTCTGGAGACATCTTATTAACTTCAAAATCAATTAAATTTTCTCGCCATATAATAATTAACACATTAACAATAACCATTTAATCCACCTGGGGCCGGTTGTATGAAAGCCGGATGGCGCTATCCACCGGATAGTGTTTTTTTCAATCGCTTCAAAATCGCCCGTTATTTGCTACAACTTTGATTAAATCTTAGTATTCCTAAATCGAAGATCCTCTTTAATAATTGTCGCTTCCAAGCTGAAATTTTATCGCTTCTCGAGCATTTTTAGAACGGTTGAAAAAATCACTATCCGGTGGATAGCGATATCCGGTTTTGATACAACCGGCCCCAGCAGTACATCAGTACAAATACAAATGTGATGTCAGGTGAAAGAATTGCGTTCTTTCGTTATTGAAGTTGATCATAATCAATTTCTAGACTAGTCTAAGAGTATTTATATCCCATTCTCGTTTTAGTTTTACCAAAATACGAAATAAGTATCAAACTTCCACCATATATGGCTTTAGACCAGAAAGAATTTACAACTACAATTTGCGCTAAGTAAGTAGTTTTATTATAAAAATTGTTATTATAAAATAACATCAATAACCAGGGAGCAGCGCGGCAGCGTCTTCACACAACTTAGCATCAAATGTGGTAAAACAATTGCCTAAAATAGACAAAACACTTCTCGACGTTTCGACCCGAGGGCCTTCGTCAGGAGAGTTTGTATGAAAATTGTTATAAGTTTTTATTTTATATGCGCAAGGTAGGAGATCTTTTACAATAGGTTAACTAATGTTCATTAATGTTAGTTTCTGGCTTCGTTCTTCTCTTCTCTTCAAATATTCGTCCTTTCGGAACCTCGTTGTTTTCTGTTCTTGTCTTTGGTCGTTGGTTCTGTGAAGGTTGAGCTTCTCTAACGTTTCATATGCTTTTTACTCCGCTAGTCCACTGAAGGTTCGTATTTTGCACACGCCCTTTTGTAGTGAAGGTTGAGGGACATCTGCACACGTCATTAACCAGAGTGGGCTGATCCTTATCCAACCAATCAGCGTTGTTAGTTAGAAATGTGGGTTGGCGTTTGAAGCTCGTTCCAGCTCTCATATCTTGTTTGTGTATTAAGGCGTTGACGCACTAGTCGAGTTGGTCTTTGACTCTATCGATCAATACTTTCAAATGTTCACAACTTAAAATATTTATCATCAACAAGCATTAAAATTATCAAACATTGTTTCTGTGAACCTTATTTTATAACGTAACTATTTATTCAACTATTTTAATCGAATTAAGCTTTCTCTGACGTAATCCTTAAAATGCTCGACCGCGCATTATAAAAAACACAGTTGATTGACATGAGAACTTTGCAGCTGCCTAAGGCATCCTGTTTTTAAGACAAAATTTCAACAACGAAAAACGCATTACAACCAGCTTTGATGTAAACAAAGAAATGGGAGTCGTATTACTATGGGTGAAGTTGCTTAAATGAAAAAGAGTCTTTCATTTATGCCAGAGGAATGGAGACTGCCAAGACTGTGGATGAGTCGCATTTCTTGTCGTTTACGGCTATCGTTAGTACCGGAAATGGGGAAAGGGCTCTAATTTTTATGTCCGTGACACAATGATTACCAGAGGTGATGGGGGCAAAACACGTGATAAAAATGGGCCAGTAGAAACAGAAAATCAAAACAAATTGGAATACATTACATTTCCAAAGAGACGCCTGAGAGATCATCAGGCACCATTTCACATGCCTCTCCTCCAACCTCATTTATTGCATCTCATGCAACAAATGTGGTTTACTATGTATCGGCGAAACTGGAAGATCTCTAGGGGCAAGGTTTGATGAACACCGTAGGTCGGTTAACAACCACGATAACACCAAGCCTGTTGCCAGACACTTTACTTCTGGTAATCATTGTGTTACGGACATAAAAATTAGAGCCCTCTGTCCCATTTCCGGTACTAACGATAGCCGTAAGCGATCAGAAATGCGACTCATCCACAGTCTTGGCAGTCTCAATTCCTCTGGCATAAATGAAAGACTCTCTTTCATTTAAGCTACTTCACCCAGATTAATATGACTCCCATTTCTTTGTTTACATCAAAGCTGGTTGTAATACGTTTTCGTTGTTGATCAGGCTTCCCTCAATGCGGGCTATTTTTAGCCCACAATCAAGCGTCTCTTTGGCAATGTAATGTATTCCAATTTGTTTTCATTTTTGGTTTTCTATTAGCCCATTTTTATCACATGTTCTGCCCCCATACAAAACATGTATTCTCCCTTATTTATTTTCATACTAACTCTCCTGACGAAGGCCCTCAGGTCGAAACGTCGAGAAGGGTTTTGTCTATTTGAAGCAGTTGTTATACCACATTTGATGCTAAAAAAAACTTTTTAACGCGTGTTCTGATTGGTCGAAGCCCTTGTTTGAATCAGGCCATTCAAAAACGGAAAGTTAACTCGCTGTTTGAAATCAAACCTGGAACACTAACCTGTTGTTGCTATTTTATAAAACCATCACTTAATGGTTTCCTGTGTTTGAATGGCCTGATCCAATCACTTGGAAATGTTCCAAAATCCCTGCGTGACCGGGTCAGGCTAGCCAAATACGGAAATCATTAAGTAATTGTCTCATCCATAGCACTCAGTCTGGAGTCGCCTGGAGTCTGCCAGATTCCATTTTCGTGATGAATTATGTGTATTTTATAGGTATACTTACGGGAAAAACGTAAAAGGAATGTTAAATGCTTTGCTGTGTTTGAAGCACTCACCTTTTGATTATTGGCGGAAGAATGAAAGAAGATTTAGTTTTATAAGATGCGAAAACGTTACAAAGGAGGTATGTGTTTTTTGTTTTCTTCGATTTATTATTTTTTTTCTCCTTACTTTTTGCAACATCGATCTTTTGAATCAAAATAATTGAGATCTGTGGATCATGACTGGATGACTTCTCCAAGCCAATGGAACGAGATTTTGGAGACAATAAAAAGACAATGGAACATTCTGATCTCTGGATTACGTGAAAAATCTGCGAGATTTTCAAAACAATGAAATCACAGGACATATTTTTGACAATATTTCAATATTTTCAGATTGATGGTTGCACAGATATTACAGTGTCACGAGAGACTTTAAATATCGGGGAAATAACTTATATTCACGGAGCGGATTTTGTTGTCGATGGTCAAGTTACTGAAACCTTAACAGGGGTCACATTAAAAAAGAAAGCTGTAACATATAACTTTAGGAAACGCTCAATTCAACTGTCATTTCATGGAACTTCAAGAAAATTTAAACCAGGTTTACCATTCTCATATGGGGTACGTAAAATTCGAGAATTCGTATTTACAGCTATAATCGTCAAACTAAACCGTTTATGGTCTGTGTCGTTTGATTGAAAAAGATAGGTGATAAATGAACACAGCTGACTTTGTAGCTATCTTTATTTGAGCAGAGCAGGTGTCAACTGTCAACTGTATCTAAATTGTAACGACCTTATTAATCTGACGCTCTCTGCTGAGCACAGTTTTTAGAAGTTTCGATATTTTTTTAAACAGCTTAAAGTTACACATCCTGATAACTCGCCGGCAACGGGGGTCAAAGTTCGTGTCACAATTGCTCGCGGCCGGAACACAGGAGCTCAATTTTATAACAAAACGTTTGTCGTGAAAAATGGCTTGATCACAGATTCCATCAATCACGAAACTTACAATGCCCGAAATTTGGTTTTCGAGGTAGGAACAAGTCCTTTTGACAAAATTCCAGTTAATATGTATAAATACGGATGATTACGCTGAATTATCTTTTGTTTATGCAAAATATATTCTCTTTGTCGCTTCGATCAGGCTTGTATAGCCATTAGTACCGTCAGTAATCATGGGCCATTGGGTTAGGGGGGCATTTGGCGCAACCACTGGTAAACAACCGGTTAGCTACTTATCAATGACCTGTGTATGTTTTCCTAGGCACAACTTCTGGGCCAAAATCCTTATCCAGTGAAAGTTGGAAACAATTACTACTACAGTTTTACAAGAGCGTCGTTTTTCGCCAAACCCTGGTATTCTCCAAGCTTCAGTTACCTCACGATACTTCAGAAGAACACTCCAGCTATGGTAAAACGTTCATCAGCAAAATTATCATGTAGTAGATATTTTCATTTATTTGTAAAAATGAGATTTACCCAAACGATTTTCGTATTTTATAGATTGGCAGCGAGGCTTCTCTGACAGTACGATACACAGCTCGTAACGACACTGGCAATAAAGTCGATTTTCATTACACTGTAAGTAGCGGTTCTACATAACAAGAAATTCCGGACATTAATTACCATAAAAGTTCATGATGCCAGGATTTTGCAATCAAAGATGGCTGCCTTGTTATCTTACCTTTAACATGTTCCCCAGCAATATGTCATTTCAGCAACTTGCTAACCATTATATTTCAAAGAGCTAACGCGGCGTTGCTGAGATGACATTACTGGAAACCTGTTTATAAAGGTAAGATAAAAATTAGAAAAAAAAATTGTTAAAATAGTACTCTGGCCGTCTTGAATCGATCTCCGCAACTGGAATATGTAAGAATTTGCTTTAATTTCAAATTTGGTCTCGTGCCTTATATAATTCTATTATAACAAGGCGGCCTTCTTTGATTGCGAAATCCTGGCATTATGAACTTTTATGGTAATTGATGTTCTGAATTTCTGGTTATGAGTTTACTGAGGTCAGAAAAAACGTAAATTAAAAGGTGTCTCCTGTGTTCTTTTCTTAACTCTACTTACATGAGTTCTGCAAAACATCAGATCATTTTAATTAACTTCTTCAAATGAGAGAGAACACAGGAGAGCTTTAACTCTACTCACATGACTTCTGTATCACATCACGATCCCACCATATGTAAAGCAGTCAAATTAAATTTCGACTTTTGGTTATAACCTGTTAGGTAATCTGTAAGGGCAAATTTGTGAAAACTGGAAAACATACAAAGCATCATGATTTCATCCCTGTCGAGAAACCAACTACCACAGCTAAGACAACCAGAGCGGCAACCAATATCGCGGACAACAACGGTACATTTCCATCCGTTGTGACACCCACGCATGACCCAATTAAAAAATTGAATACAATACCACTCGTTAAGAAATTTGATATCGAATTCCCAGTGACAATGGAAATGGTGCCTTCGTGTCAGGTAATGGTGTATTACGTGAGAAAAGACAAGGAAGTTGTTGCTGATAGTGTGGAGTTTGATGTAGAAGATAGACTAGAAAACCAGGTAAGAAGCGATTAATAAGAATTCCTGGTAGATACTGACCGAATCGGAATGTTTTGTCAGTACAACATCAGATCACTTAAAGACGTTGACATTAAAGAACATGTACTACCTCTGCATGATCTAACCATGTAGTCAACTGAGAGATAAAACAGGAGAGACTTAACTCTAGTCTCATGAGTTCTGTACAACATATCAGATCACTTAAAGGTAGCTCATATTCAAGAACAAGAACTGCTTCTACATGATCTAACCATGTAGGCTCAGTCAACTGAGACAGAACAAAGGAGAGACTTACGTATAAGTTCAACGTATCATCTTTAATTATTCGCCATAAAATTTGAAGTCAATTCCTCACTTTTGAAGGTGTCGGTGAGCTTTGTGGAGAAGGAACTGAAGCCGGGAGAAAAAACGAAGCTGATATTGAAAGCTTCGCCCGGATCACGCGTGGCGTTTGTGGCCGTGGACAAGAGCATTCACATTTTGAAATCTGGGAACGAGTTTACAAAGGGTAAGGTAAGAAGACTTCCCATTATTCCTCATTACTCCTCATTGTAATACAACGTAAGATTAGGACTGATGATATTATTCTACGGCACTATTGAAACTATTGAGAACTTGGCAGCAAGATACGGTAGTTTAAAATAAATATCTCACTTCTTTAAATACCTCACTTCTTTGTATATGAATATAATTTATAACATTTTTACTGTGTTTTAGATCCGTCCATACCTTTGGGAGCATCGAAGGGCAACATGGACTTCTAACCCAAAGTGTAGCCATTCGGGATACTCGTGGAGAAGAGAATACGACGACGCCTCGGTGGCCTTTGATGTATGTTAGTTCTAATCTTATAGATTTACCTTCTAAAAGACATCACCCAAAACACATTTCAGAAACCTCGCTAATACAGACTTCTCGAAGGGAAATATCTCTATAAAACAGGCATCTCTTTAATACAGAAATTTTTCTAATACATACATCTCTCAGTTACAGACTTCTGCAGCACAGACATCTCTCTAAATAAAGACAACTCTCTTTTAAACAGGGATCCCTCTAATACAGATATCTCTCCAATGCAAGCATTTCTCTAATGCTGACGTCTCTACAATACAGACATCTCTCTAATACACATATATCTCTAATGAAAAATAGAAGTTCAACTGTTCCTCACTTAGGAAAACGCTCAAAGTCTGCATTGCAGGCGGTCCCTAAAATCGGGCAAGGCGACGACGGCGAAAGACCGCCTGACGGGTTTGGCTATGTATTTTAGAAACCCCGTCCACTGGCGTGGGACAAAGATTTACTCCTTGCAAAGCATGTTTTAGCCGTGGTACCTAATAGTTATGATACCGTTCTATTTACTAGTGACTTTACGTGATATGCGTGACGTAAAGTAAGACGTGCGAGAAAATAGGAAAATATTGGCAAACATGAATATAAAAGCTGAGCGTAGTAGTGTTCTCTTTATTTTATCTTTTCGCTGTTTTAAAGTCTATAATCAAAGAGCGGAAATGCTTTCGATGGGTTTCTCAGCAGTAAAATTTTTGGACAAAAATGCTTCAGAAGTCCCCAAGTCTCTACCTCAATATATTTATGCGAGCGCGGATTGGAGAGCGCAGTTTGACATAAATAAGGTGCCAAAAACACGTATGCTCTCTAAATTAATGAAGTGTTTGATGATACTGTCTTGATGATAAAGTCTTTGGTGTTTGTCATTAATCAATTATACTGTATATTGCAACTTCGAAGAACCAAACTTCGATTCATAAATAAATTTACAGGCGAAAAATAATATATCCCCGTTATTAACACGGTTCTGTTATTAGAACACAGTTTTGTTATTAGAATATTTTAAACATGCTTGTGGATTGGGTAATTGTTCTAGGGCTGAAAAGCGGGCGATTTCTAAAATACATAGCCAAACTTGGCAGGCGGTCTTTTGCCGTCGTTGCCTTGAGCGTATGCGCGATGGAATTAAGCAATGGCAATATATATTAAATTTTATATATTTATGGAATGTGGGTGTAAGATTTACTTCCAACTTAAAAATCCATAAAGTACCTTGCCCAAGACCAGAACCACTGTATAGTCGACGTTACCATTATAGCAAAGAAAAGTTCAAGAGAACTTACGAAATTACAACAGCATTCGGGCAAATATACAAAAGATATATGTTGCCGTTGAAAACCTTTTGCAACGTTTTCTGCTGGAAGACCTTTTGCAATATAATTATTTCTTTTGGAGGAAACCACTATAGCACACGGTTAAATTGTCGCTTGTTTTAGGTAACTGGTCTCGTTTTCCTCTCGAATCTTCGTATTGTTACAAGACCATGTCCAAAACCGGATTATCGTATGGGACCCTCTACGGAAGCTCCAGAAGTCGTTACGGAAGCTCCAGAAAGCGGTAACATATTAACTTTGGAAAATTTTTATATTATTTTTAAAAATTATTGTCAAGACCAGAACAGCGGAACTATATGATAGTGTGCTGGCACGAACCAGTTCTGTCTTGTCTGTTCTCATGTCTCCGTATAGGTTTCCAATATTTTGTGTTTTTAGCTGATTTGTTAGTTTAATTTATCGACCAAAATATTGCGTTTATAGCAAGAAAAGTTCGGAAAAACATACGAAATCCCAAAGCATTAAGTAAAATATGCAAAGATATACTGTATGTTACTATTGAAAACCTTCTGTAACGTTTTTTGAAATTAGATTTCTTCCGGAAGCAAACGCTATAGCACAAGCACGGTTCGATTTTACTCATTTTAGGCGGCTGGTCTCGTTTTCCTCTCAAATCTTCTCATTTTTACAAATCTATAGCCCAACAATGGCAACAACGCAGTCCAGAGAAAGTCTAGGGTAGTAACATGTTAAATTTTGTATATTTTACAGAATGCTGGTGGAAAATTTGTTTGGTTTTTGGTTTTAAGTTATTTGCCCACCATGTGAACTTTTTCCGACTGTTGAAACTGATTTTAGGTGTAATCCAGGTTATATCAAACAATGCGCAAATTTAGAGCAACTGAAATTAATCGGTGCATGGATAGCATTATCCAGCTTTCGTACAACCGGCCCCAGTTTATATCTCGGCTACTCTTGTGCCATAGTGAAATTTGTAGAGATACTACTAAGAAGAAGCACTTACTGTGTTTTTTGCTTGTACATTAAATGCGAGGAAGAATATCGTGAAAGAGAAATACTGGCAAAACAAAAGCCGTTCAAAATTCGCAAAGAGTTCCCAGAGACATGGTTATGGTCGGATGAAAAACTCGAGTAAGATTTTTAAACAAAGTCTTGTACTTCCAATCTTATAATGATTTTGAATAAAGTGGACCTATTCCTTTCATAATTGATCCAATGCGGAGCTCATCCCTTCATAATTGTTGTAATGTGGAGTTGACGCTTTTACATATAATTGTTCTAATTGGAAGCTGGTGCTTTCATAATGAATCTGGTTACATAGATTTAAATCCAACCTATTTCAGCCTAAAAAATAATTTTGCAATTTAATTTCATCCTCTTTAGTGAATCAGGCAACAAGACAGTTGAAGTAACTGTGCCAGGTACAATTACAAGTTGGGTGGCAAATGCTTTCGCTATTTCGTCGAAGACAGGTATCGGAGTTTCAGAAACTTCAACACTCAGAGCTATTCAACCGTTCTTTGTTTCAATGACGCTACCATACTCCGTCATCCGAGGAGAAGAGATTCCAGTCATCGTAACTGTGTTTAATTATCTGCCTAGTTGTGCAGCGGTAAGTTTAGTGGAGACAAACTTTGACACATCCTGTACAGTCCTGGGGCTGGTTGTGCGAAAGTTGGATAAACGTTAAAAAATGGCATGCCCAAGACTGAACTTCACAATTTTGAAGTTAAAATGCCTCTTAACAATTATAAATTTAATATAAGTAGTTTTATCCAGCGGATAATTTCATCCACCTTTCGAACCACCGGTCCCTGGTAAAAGAAATGCTACCAACGCTACCGACAAACGGGATAGTCTGTCTGAGGTGCAAATGCCGTACAAATGTAACTCTTATAGGATTTCATTTATCTATTCAAAAACCAATGCAGACACTCCATAGCAATTTAATTTTTAAGGTATGCCTTTCATTTACCATGGTATGAGAAACAGTATCGTAGCATATAACTCTATCTTGCAAAACAGTTTCTCACATACAGCACTGGGATTTCTTTCTTAGATAAAATTAGAATTGAAGCGCAAGCAGGCCGACTACAAAGTGACATCGTATCATATCAACAAACTCTGCGTTTGTGGCAGCGAAGGAAAATCAGTGAAGTTCACAATCATTCCTATTAACCTCGGACACATTCCTCTCACGGTCACGGCAACTACGTCATCGGCCAAACTCTGTTCTAATAAAACAATTCCAGTCCACGATGCCGTTACACGAAAACTACTCGTCGAGGTAAACTTAATTATTCCCTAGCCGATGCGAAGGTACAAATTACGATACAAAATTTTGATAAAATTTATAAATGTATTTATAAATGGAGTCTTTAACAGTGAACTCAAATAAGACTGGAACGTTCGCTCTCTGCCTGTCCCTCATTAATGAGTGAAGCCAAGATGGCGGATCATGAAGCCTCATTGAACTCAGCAGAACTGGAAGGCTACCTCATGATTAAAATAGCCAAAACTCTTGAAGGCAAATTTTTACCCCCAGACACGCGTGTACATGTTGCGAGACATTCTCGCGAGGGTCTTTTCAGGAGTGAGCATAAGGAAAACATGAACTGTTTAGTGGCGAAGTTACATTCGTTCAGATTTATCGTTTATTTTGACGATTTAAGCTATAATTTTGTAATCAATTCAGATTATAACTAAAGAATACCGTTACCCCACAGCCCTGACGCGGCGAAATTGCGAGGAAAATGTAAAGAGTTTGAAAACGATCACTACTTCAAAAAGGTTTGCACCACTCAGTGGTTTACACATATAAAAAAGAAAATTTAAAAGTAGTTTGTTGTTAAATAAATATTGTTAGACTGTAAGTTGATAAACAATTCAATTAAACACTTTTGAATTGACCCTGCTTCACTCCTCTACTTTATTCTGTAGTTATCACGGATCTTTTGATCGCAAAAATGCTGTGGAAAATGTTCTTTATGTCTTCTAAAACAGATTTTTAGTGCTAGCATGTTGAAGTGTTATTTTTTAAGTTTTGAAAAAAAATCGCGTGTTTAGTTGCGTGAAACGACTGGGCATGACCCCAGGTTTTGGCTTCAAATTTCTGGCCTGAGCAAGCCTTCCAGTTCTTTTGAGTCCAATACTGCCGCCATTTTACCTACGAAATTTCCGCGTGGAGGCCTTGATCATACCTACAAGATAGGCTTCCGCCATCTTGGCTTCAAACTTCCGGCAGAGTGAGCGTTCCAGTCTTATTTGAATTCACTGGTCCATGACTGATAAATATTCTAATTACATCGGAGGGAACTCGAATACGGTCAGTACGTTTTATGGTTGAACAAAGTTAACAAATAACATAACCAAATTTTTTTGACCGAATTCAGTTTGTATAACGAAATTCGGAAGATTTTACATGTGATAATATATGCTCAATTAACAAATTAAAGATGCTCAATTTTCTTATGGAGTAAAATTAAAGTGGTTGTTAAATTTAACCTGAAAACTCTTTCCTTTTCAGGCTGAAGGTATCAAAAGGGAGTTCACTCAGGGAACATTCTTCTGTCCAGGAAGTAAGGATCGTCAGTTTGATTTGGATGTTCATCTCCTCTGCTTGTTTTTGGTAAAAGATTTCTTGTTTTTTTAGACAAGAAACACAAGGAAGAGTTTAACCTCAGGGTACCTGCGAATTACATACCAGGATCAATATACCCAACAGTGACTATTATAGGTAATTCAATATAATTTTGCAGTATTTTACCCCCAATTGACACATTTTTCTCACTTGAATGAGTTAAGCATAGTTAATATACAATCTTCGTGCATTGTCCTAAATCTACTCACGCGATTGGTCAAAATCATTCACGTGCATGTTTCTTGTTGCCTGGCGACAAATCATGGGAATCATAATTTATTCGCAATAAGCCATGAAAATGTGTTCTTTCTCAGTTGACCGCGTTAAGCATGGTTAGAGCCTTTCTGATAGGTTGAGGTTAACATTGAATCAAAGTAGGGTGGTTTTAAATGTGGTTGACGACTGTCGTGTGATCTTATTAACTCTCTCCACTCTCAGGTGACATCATGGGAGCAGCAATGACGAATCTAAAGGATCTATTGCGCATGCCCTATGGCTGTGGTGAACAAAATATGGCAAATTTCGCACCCAATATCTACATCATGGATTACTTGACTCAGACGAACCAAGTGACAGAAGGAATCAAGAGTAAAGCCGAAAACTTTATGAAAGTTGGTTAGTGCGAAACAGCAGAATATTTCTCGATGTGTACTAATTTATTAGCAAGAGCATAAAAAGCCAAAATTTTTCTTTCCTGACAAGTTGGGCATTTTTTCAACCACCTCAACTAAAACATTTGCTCCGATATGTATCTCCTCAGGTTATCAAAGAGAATTGATTTACAAAAGAAAAAGTGGCTCGTACAGTACGTTTGGCAATTCTGACAGTCAAGGAAGTATGATGTAAGTGTGAACTATTATCATATGAAAAACATAAAACATTTATATAAAACATCAAACTTGCAAATATAAACAATAAGTATAAACTCTTGGTAAACACCGTGTATATCAAAGTAATATCTTAAATTTAATAAAAACCCCAAAGAAAATATATTCCCTTTTGCATTCTCTGTAGGGAGAAGCAGTTTTACACAATACGTCAAAATTTGGAAATTTCTTAAGACAGCAGCGTATGCTAATGAATCTATCATTTTTCTTCCTCTAGTCAATTGAAGAGTTTTTAGTGGTTTGACATAGAAGCATGGGGAATCATGCAGGATGCATGTTGTCCCACGCATGTTTTTGCCATAATCGGGCTCAGGAAACCTGAACATAAACCTTTAAGACTGCATTCAATCTTTGTTGGTGTTCCTCTTCCTAGGTTGACCGCGTTTGTACTTCGATCATTTGCTCGAGCGATGAAATATATTTTTGTTGATGATGCCAAAATTGAACACAGTTTCCGATGGCTCCGCAGCAAACAATTGAATATTGGATGTTTCCCACAGTACGGAAAAGTGTTCCATAGAAGACTACAGGTAATTTGATGGGCTATGTTTGTCTACTTATATACTGGGGTAAATGTTACACGAAGTGTTAGTGAGTTGTCCAAGTACTAAGATTAAAAGCTTTATTATATTCCTTTTGAGATTTTAAATCAATGGTGTTTCTTGAAATCTGATTGGTTAGAAATAGTGTGATTAATTCCCAAATCGCACTATTTTTGAACATTAATCACATCATTTATAAGCCAATAAGATTGAAGCTCTGCACCACAATAACCAATCAAATTTAGTATTTCAGTGTAACTATCCAATCAAATTACAGGGGAAAATGGAACAAAATTTTATTATTTTGAATTTTCAAATGCCCCGCAAAATTTCTTGACAAAAATGAATGAAAATTACTCACATTTTACACCGTTTACGGTTCTTTCAGCCAATAAATCGTTTTGAATTTGTTTAATCTTTTGTGTGATTTCAAAATGAATATAATAAAGTGGAAATTGCACTTTATTGATTTTGTAATCACGCATTTGATTTCACACCAAATTGCACTCCACTCAGTGCAATTACCATTATTAATTTTGAAGCACTAAAGAGCCGACCTCTCCAAGGAAAAATACCATTCACTTCTAGGTAGCATACTGATATATAACTCGAGACAATTAAACACTTAAAGAGCCACACATCAGGTAAAAAAGGCTTGCTGTTAAGGTGGCTTGATACAGTTTTCAAAAATTCCATTGTTCATCACTTTCACACATTCAAACAACACATTTTTATGATTTATTCCAGAGATATTGGAGTTTTTATATATTTTAATGTCTCTATGTTTTAATGGTATTAGTTTTAGTAACAGATCGTCCGTTGCTATGGTGACATGCATGTACAAAATTCACTCCAAAATGACCAATTGCCTCGGATAGTTGGAAAAGAAGCACGGTGACCCCCAACTTTTTTCGTGCAGGATTTTACTTCGAAGGAAAACTAAAAATTAGCAAAAAATCTGCAACGCCAAATTTTTGAAAAATGCAAAAGTGACATTTTTTCGATAATTTTTTTGCCATGATACAATTTTTTTTTGGTATTATGAGACACATGCATATGTAGTAGGTATTAGCTACAATACAGCATGCAATATTTCAGCGTAGGTCACCGTACGAAATAACGATTACGTACGAAAACGTGCGCAATAATTTTTTTTCAAAAAATGGAATTTTTTAAAGACGTGTGCAATTACACGCGTGTGGTCCAAAACACGCATCACGTGAAACAAACACGCGCCAAGCATGCTGTTCTGATTGTTCTGAATTTGATAACAGTATTTATGTTTATGTTTCACGCTGGTTTGGGCAGTGCGTTCGAAAATGAAACTAGACAAATATCGCGAGGCTATTAATGTTTCCACGCGCAAGAGCGCAACTAAATAAACTGTATCGAGCCACCTTAATCGTCTGGAAAACCATTTTTCACATGCTTCATTTGTGTGTGTTTTAGGGAGGCGTGAACAGCGAACTTACAATGACAGCCTATGTGACCATAGCCCTTTTGGAAGCTGGAGAAACAACAAATGTAAGCTTAGCAACATACATATATCCGGTATGGTAGAAAACTTGTGTGCGGATAGGCGGATGAGGATAGAATCTTGTAGATAATGGTAGAAAACGCGAGTAAATTCTTGCGGATAAAGTAGAAAACACGGGTAAATTCTTGCGGATAAAGAGGAAACACGGGTAAATTCTTACGGTTAATGGTAGAAAACGCGGGTAAATTCTTTTATTATCGAACAATCGTAAATTAATTTTTATTTTAGGAGAATAGTCCACTTACGTTGCGTTTTGACAAGGTTTTGTTACTTTAGCTATATTTACGGATTTAATTACTTAGTTAATTACGTAGTTTTGTCGAAGATCTGGCTTCTGATTGGTTGATTTTTATACCTAGATCAGCTGGCAGTCATTAATAATATGTTCATTTATGAAAACGATTTCACTCGAATCCGTCGCTTTCGTCCATGAAATTCAAATTAATCAACTGCTTTGAAAGGCGCTCAAAAGGCAGGCGGCAAAATGCCTTAAATTCTCCTATATTTCTCGTGATTGACTTATTTTGCTTTCGGGAACGTCTCAAACCCTTATGTTAAACTATACTTCAAATATAGCAAAAGCCATCCTCTTGATTTGTAACTTTTCGTAAGCCTTTTGGCGCAAGTAATCACATGAACCAAGACATGCGAAAACAACAGCTTTAGGCTTCTGTTTAATAAACATGGCTTTTAAGCTTCCAAGTTTAAATAAAAAAAATTACCAAATTATTTGCCGTCGTCTGAATACGGTCAAGTGGAAACATTAGAAATGGTTGGACATGGGGCCATATGGGAAAAACGAGCTATTTCGCCCATCGTCGAAGATCGAAATAATTAAATAACTAAAAAAGTAACAAAACGTTGTCAAAACGAGACTTACTTCTAAAATAACAGTCAATTTACAATTTGCTACTTTATTGCTATTATATGTTTGCCGCGTTTTGACTTTATCCGCAAGAATTTACCCGCGTTTTCTACTTTATCCGCAAGAATTTACCCGCGTTTTCTACTTTATCCGCAAGAATTTACCCGCGTTTTCTACTGTATCTGCAAAAGTTTACCCGCATTTTCTACTTTATCCGCAAGAATTTATCCATCCGCATCTGACTATCCGCATCCGCCTATCCGCATCCGCGTTTTCTACCATACCCATATATCCAGGCAAAAAGAAAAACGAAGTTTTATGTCTATAAGAACATGTTTCTTCTTCTTCAGAGCATCATGGTGTCCAAAGCTCTCAAGTGTATCGTAAATCGACTTGACACGATCACTGATACTTATTCAACTGCCCTTGTGACGTATGCCTTGACTTTAGCAAACCATACTGACGCTCAGAGGATGCTCAGAATATTGAAAAATAAGGCAACCAAAGAAGGTAAGCCAAATAACAAGGGTAAGAATATGGTGTCCTCATAAAAGTTCATGAAGTAAGATTGCGTCGTACAGTGTTTGTAAACAAGTAATTTGATGTTATACTCACGTAAAAAGAGTTAAGTCGTTTACGTGTTGTCTCTCAGTTGACTGAGTTAAGCATGCATGGTTAGATCAAGCAGAGGTTGTTTATGTTTTGATTGTGAGTGGAGATAAGTCTCTCCTGTGTTCTCTCTCAGTTGAATAGTTAGATGATGGATACGTATTCCATGTTCTTGAACGAGGGCCACCTCGAAGGTATTTCATGTTATACAGACATATTTAGCTAAAAATAAACACGTTTAAAAATCTTCTCTACAGAGGGTCAAATGTACTGGGGAATTGGAAACAAGCGTACGGAGAGTCTAAGATATTACTATCAGCGATCATCAGCCGACGTAGAAACGACAGCATATGCCTTGCTTTCAATTTTACATCAAACGCCAAATTATGAAAGCGTAGTAAATAATGAAATTATGGACATTATTCATTGGTTATCAAGACAAAGAAACTCTCAAGGCGGATTTTATTCAACACAGGTAAGATCCTTGATGAAGTCTAAAATGGATGGCTTAAAGATCTTACTCCAGAAATGATTAGACAGTTCCGCTCTGGTATAAAATGGGAACGCTTAAAAATGTTGAACTTAGAAATGTTGCACAGCTTCAAGTCTGGTATAAAGTAAAAAGGCTATTGATAGCTTTGAAGGATTTTTATACATTATAATTTACTTTTTATAGGACACTTGTGTTGCTCTACAAGCGTTAGCCGAGTTTGCAGGACGAGCTTATGGGGATAGCGCTGATTTTAGTTCAAGTCAGTTAACGGGATCTTTGAAGATGGGTGATCACTACAACCACAACTTCGTGGTAACAATAGCGAATAAACTGATATTACAAACTGTTGAGCTTCCTCAGAAGATCATTCCCGGTAAATTGGAAGTAACGGGTCAAGGCGTTGGCTGTGCGTTGGTACAGGTAGGAAAAACAGCAACAATAGACCTCATCGTTTATCTTTTAACCAATGTTTTTTATGGGAAATGATAAACTTACACGAAGCATTTCTTTAGACGTCAGTTAAGTATAATATCCCTGAACCGGAAGATGTTCCAGCATTTGATATTAAAGTTGATGTTCGTACGAGACGTTCAGCCCCTGATGAAGAAACGACCCAATGTAGTCCATTAAAACTGGAAATAACCACAAAGTAAGAAGTGTTTCGCTTGTAGTCAGTTCAATGTTTGATCCAGCAAAAGGGCCTAAAATGGTGCTTAGGGATCTTTCGTTACTGGTTAGTAACTAAGGATTAGGACCGAAAAGCCGGAGCCCCGAAACAACCACTATTAACCCAAAACACATTAATCCCCTCTAATCTACTGTATGGCATGGGGGTATATTTAACTTGGTTAGCTAACTCTTTCTACGTAATTTCTACGCCAATTTTCTCACACTGTTATTAAACCTACTTAAGGTGGCTCAAGGAGGTTGTTTCCAACATGGCTGTGGTGGATGTTAAACTAGTTACTGGATTTAGCGTGAGAGAGGAATCGTTGGAAAGTGTAAGCTTTCAATTTCTGCATGAAACAGGGAAGTGTCAAATACAGTCGCCCCAAACCTATCGATATCTCTTCAACTGGGTTAAGAATTCGCCACGATGCCTCGGAAATCGCAGTAACCATTTCTGGTCATTTCTCTTTTCAGCTAAGGAATGATCCGGTGCTAAACTTCAAACGTTACGATATTGATGGACAGAACGTACAGCTTTATTTCGATGAGGTAACTAATAACTATCGTTGATCCTCAAGGTTTCCATTCTTCGATTTCTCTATCAGTCCAAAACTGTTCTTCCTGGTGTGTCAGTAAGGATCATCCTCCATTCAACTAGTGTTGCACCTCCATACAACTGAACTAATAATTAGCTTCTATTACCAACATATGTTTCCATGTTTAGATCAGTGATATTACTTTCTCCATTGACATCCATCAAGACACACTTGTCAAGAAACTGAAACCTGCTGTTGTCAAAGTCTACGATTACTATGAACCAGGTGAAGAATTCATGAACAAGCGAATCTTGTTTTCCTAGTTTTCTAATAAAGGAAACTTACATGCACCGTCCAGGCTAGCCAAGATAACCGGTCTACTTATTTATCCAACTTCATTCGATTTTTGAACATCCTAAGTTGGTGGCTTCAAATCAAAATCTCTCTTTAACAGAAAGCCAAGCTGAAGTGATGTACAGAATTGGTGAGACGGAATGCTATGGCAACAGAGGTGTGTTAAATACATGCATGCAGCTAAATCATACTTTATTTAAGAAATACATTTCATACTGAAAGACCATAAGATGAAAAATCCACTGGTGGCAATTTTACATATTTTATAAGGTTGATGCTTTAGCTGTCATTTTTGTTTTCAGTTGGTGCGGAGTGCCCAAGATGTTTGACTTTAGAGAATCTGGATGCTATAATTGAGTGCAACAGTACCGGTGAGTTGATATTCCTTTTTTTCTCCTAGTACTGAGGATGTCAAGCATTGTTGTCGTCTCCCACAAGTTCAAAAGAATTCTTCTTTAAAAAAAGAATTATGTCCTTTATTAAAACAATTGTGTAAAGAGCATCATCACATATTTTTGGGTAATATTCTTTTGCTTTATTCCGTTTCTCAGTGACAAGAATGAAATCCGCACGAGGCATGCTCAGAGTTGTCAAAGCATTTTCCGAGGATTCGAAGAATAAAGGAGAGCGTATTATAAAAAAAGATCTGAAGTATCGCATTCCAGAATTCTGTCCATGTGATGAGATCTACGACAAGGAACGATCCATTGTGATTGGTCGAAACAGTTACTTCCAAGATGACGGCCGTGAGACTGCGGTCGTGCTGAATTCGGGGACGACAATCTATAAGTATACTGGAAAGGCGATGAAGCCTCAAATAAAAAAGATAGTAAGACAGCTTGCGGCTTGCAAACGCACAACCCGCAAAAGAAGAAATTAAATTAACAACAGGATATTGATAACAAGCTTAAACAATTATTGTTCTATTGTTTTCAATGCAAATATAATAATCAATATTTTTATTCCATAACTAGTGATGCAGTGTTTGTAATTACACAATAATAATATTTATTAGCGTTTATTATTTCCATCGCGAAATTTTTGCATCCTCGCTGTTTGTGGAACGCGAATTTAACATGTAATGCATCCACAAAAAGTTAAACGCAACACTGTTCGTCGCATTTTATTCTCCTCCTGGGGCCAGTTGTTAAGAAGCCGGTTAGCTTAATCAAAGTTAATTAAAACAAATCTCTACATCAATTTTTTTAATCACATCAAATTTTTTGATGCTATGAAAGAAACAACTTGCGGCTTGCCAACGCACCGCTCGAAAAAGAGGAAATTAAAGTAACGACAGGATATTGATACCAATCGTAAACGATTATTGTTTTGCAACACGTACCGTTAGTATATATCGCTGTATCAATTTGTAATGTTTTATTTCTATTGTTCTCAATGCAAATAAAAATCCATATTTTTGTACCGTAACTATTGGTGCAGTCTTTGTATTACATATTTATTAGCGTTTATTATTTCCATCGCGAGATTTTACATCCTCACTGTTTGGGGATTGAATGAAGAATTGAAGATTTTTGTTGAACTTTTTTCGCGAATTTAAAATCCACAAAAACGGTTAAGCGCAATACGGTTCATCGGATTTTATTCTCGTCCAGGGGTCGTTTGTTCATTTAAAATTAAAACGTGATAAATGTATTTTTAAGCCGCTCGCACGTTGCGTTTAAATCCGTCGAAATATTTCTAAAACTAAGCGCTGTTATAAGTAGACTTTAATTAATAATTTAATGCACCGCTCACAACACACAAAAAATGAACCCAATAAGCAATAATTTTATAAGGACGGCTGCATCGTCACCTTGCCAAGTTTGTACAGCATAAATAATTGATTTTGTGGAAGTTTTCCAGTCAAGTGCATTCCTCAAAAACTGATACATTTGGCTTTCATCAAGGAAAACCGTGTGCAAGAAAAACAAGCGTAAACTTTAGTAATTCATGTGAATATACATATTTCAGATCCACTCGAATAAATGCAGAACTCCAGGGACTTGTGTATTGCTGTCGATCACAATAAAAGTTCCGCTTTTTGCAAATAAACGAGTCTATTGTTTCCAAAATTCTTTTTGGACCTTAATTGACAGCTATAGCTTATAGTAAAGCAATGAATAGATAAAAAGTCTTCGAAATTATATCAAATTGGTCCGGAAATCTTGAATGAAAAAGAATGTCCAAATGCTTCTAAATTTCCACGTAAACCTTTTATTTCACACAGCTAATATGGCGTGTTGAAAGGTTGATGAACGACAGAACGAGTTTAAAATCCACCAAATATATGACGCGAACGTGTGTAAAATTTTCACAGTTTAACAACAGCAATAAAAATAATAAAAATAAAGGTAAAAAGAGTCAATATCGTATTTGTAAACAAATTAAAACTGGTTTCCTACCACTAATTAACGGCTGGTTTCATGTTACGTCCTCGTCGTAGATTTGACATCACACTGGCGCGCTCGTGTGGGTGCAGCAGGTAGTTCCGGTTGAAAAAGGGAATATATTTGATGTCCAGTTTGTTCTCTGTTGCATTGTCTGCATTATATGCTTCCATAGTTCCATTTACACTTCTGCGTCAAAATGGTCAGGTGCTTTGCGCTTATTTTGCTGATTGCGGCTGTAACCAGGTTTGTATGAAGTTTGTTACTATATCTGAAGTAATATTGATCTATTAAATGCTGAAGTATAAACTTAGACATACACCTTACAATCTTTTATATTCGCATTGTTCGTGTGAGATTTGCTGAGCGATTTTCGAGATTGTTCAATGTTCGAAATTGCCCGAAAATTGTTCCAAAAGCGTTCATCCGTGATCCGTTTGATTTACCGTTCGTTAATTGAAACGCTTGCCGGAATTTCGTTCGATCGCATTGGTTTTGGCTCAACATTAGATTTAACATTTGCAATGTAACAACTTTATATAAGAAGCGCAGAATGTATTACACAGAAATAATCCTAGAATAGTAAGTAGGCTTTTAATGAGGTTGTATAATTTTAGCCGAATCGAATGCTATTTCGTGCGCTTCATGATTTCGTCTGAGCGTCATGCAGACATGAAAGGCTATATTACTATTCATTGCATGCTGTTATTTCATTAACATCAAAAACTCAAAGAGCTTCCTTTCAAAAATTTATCGTTTTTTTAATGCCGATAATGCAATGATTACAATTTGTACTTTAATACTTCTGTAGCTTCCATAAAGCCAGAGATTACCACGGGCACAAACAACGTCGCAAGCTATATAATTATATTGAGCATTACGAGCCATATGCCTTGGGAAGGTGATAATTAAATTGCATAACTGTCGGAAGTCTCTAAATGTATGAAAAAAGACAAAAGCCGATATTAAAACGAATTGAGGAATTTTGCGCGTTACATATCATCAGGCCTGATATTATCTTACTTGTCAACCATATAAGTTTAAAAAAAAGACTTGATCTGGCATGAATAAAACTCATGCATTTTTCAAATTTATTTAGACTTTCAATTCACAGAATTTACTTCATATAATTATATTGATGTATGCACATTTTAGCACAATGTGATTCAAATTTTCAGAGCGATCTAAAGAAAAGGGAGATTATGCATTTTAGTATAATAGAGCGTAAATATCTTAATTTGTTTTCTCTTTATTCAATGGTCATCGCATATGATAGCGATTTATAAACTAAGAACTATGCTTACGAGAATTTTGCTTTAAAGGCAACATTGTCTCTAACTGCATTATATTTCGCTGCATGCGGAGTAAACACCTGAGCAGGCGTCTTGTTTGGTTATAATTTGACTTCCTTCGACCAGCTCCTCGAATCGGAAACGTGGAACGCGCAATTCAATGCCTCATATTTTACAAACGATAGAGATTGTATGAGAGTAATGAAACTAATAAAACCACAAAGAAGGTAAGAAGGCAATATTTGACGATAATAATTAAAAACATTTAAGTTCGACCTGTAGCTCTCGGATTTTTCGCTATATATAGTGCCGCATTTGAAAGATCTTCACTTTTTTAAGCCATGTCAATAATTCATCAAAAAATGAACATTATATGTTAACCTTGGCGGGCATGGTGGTACATTTTGCGGACTAAAATGATAAATTTGGCGGGATGAAATGTATTTTAGCCTGCTGATCTATAAAGTGCTTCACAGTCGGAGAAAAAACACATTTATGCCCGCGAAAATCAACTCTATTAATTGTTATATTAGAAGTTAAATTTGGCAGCTGCTTGGAGAACAGGTCGATATTCACTAATTTTGATTAACTTACAGTCCGGATATTAAATTTTGATCATGCATGAACATTGCACTTTGAAGGCTGCCAGTGCCAGATATAGCGCGGCGAAATGAATAAATATGAAATGGAGCTAATAAAGTTCATGAGCGCGTGGGTGAAGTTCTTTGCGAGTTGGGTCAAAATTATCTAATCATTCCAATACGAATAAACATGAGATGAAAGGTTGTCAGACCTTCAAAAAGGCTTGGCATGAGGTTAGAGTAGTTGTTAGCTTGGTGGTCACAATTTAATAGGATGCATTTACTCACATTGAAACAACAAATGAACAATTGCTTACAAACTTTGCTGACATTTTTCAAAAAATATGTGGGTAGATGCGACCTCGAAATATATATAATTATATAACAGCACATGCAAGACAAGAAAAAGATTTTGCTAGACAAAATGAATTAACGTTTTCATGCATGTGTTAATCATGCATCTGCCTGGGGAAATCTTGATTAGTTAATTTTACTATAAGCAGGAGGCACAAATTGTGTCAATTTCGAAGATATCTCGAAGATGTTGAGGATTGGGCTTTTTTTTAAATATTGAGTATAAATTCCCCTGTGCATACATTTGGCATCGTCGTTTCTATATGGGCGGCAGCACTGCTATATGCTTTGCGGATTGCCGGTCATTTGAATTGAAGATTTCGAAAATTGCCCCACCAATTTATGTGTTTTGTTCTTTAGGTTACTATTGTTAGGCTCATGCTGGTAGCGTAGACACTTTTACACAGTTGACTATGTAGTTTCTCTAACATATGGAGGGGAATAAAATATTTCCTAATGAATATAGTGACCACCAAGAATTTAATTCATTTAATATCACAAGAAATTATAATTAGCAAATAATAAATGACTTGCGGTACTCGTTTAACATTATAACACATGCATATGTGGTCGTATGCTCACAAAATATATCACTTATATCGAAAAGTATGGCGACAGAAATAGCGAATTGCAGCTTTAGCTTTGCGAAGAAAATATGGCGATGGTGCATGAAATCAACAAAATAGATTATGATCAGTTAAAAATTTTATGCTATGAGATTTCATAGCCCTTGCCGTTTTAAAAGCGATTATATGTCTCATGAAAGCATTTCCTCCCACGGACAGTTGTTTTTACGCATCCTGTCCAGATGTATTATAATCGGATTTCAATTAATGTTATTCAATTAATGTCAAGATGTATTATAATCGGATTTCAATATAATGTCCTAATGATGTTACAGCCATGTTAATAAAACAGATGCATGTTGGCTGTCTTTAAAACCAGGAATGGGGAATCAAGGAACGGGGAACCAAGAACGGGGAACCAGGAAACGGGGATTGAGAATCTCCGGAATCTTTAAAATTTGGAATGAGAATCTCCGGAATCTTTAAAACCCGGAATGAGAATCTCCGGAATCTTTAAAACCCGGAATGAGAATCTCCGGAATCTTTAAAACCCGGAATGAGAATTTCCGGAATCTTTAAAACCCAGAATGAGAATCTCCGGAATTTTTATAACACCGGAATGAGAATCTCCGGAATCTTTAAAACCCGGAATGAGAAACATGGAATAATGTAAACAAATGAGTGATAAAATAACATCCCGTGCTATATAAGGATATAAGCAAGTTGTGTTAGTCGCTATCAACTTTTGTGCGTAAAAACAGTCACTTTATGATAAAATGAGCCTTTCTCTTGAGTTCTGTGGTTGGAATTTTGTTGTGCTGGTTTTACACATTGAAATACAGGACAATTAAGTGGCAGAAGTGGACATACGTTATTCGATGGAATTATGAAAGGAATGTCCACATCCGTGAAAAACGTTATAAAGTGAATTATCTTTTGTGCTCTTTTGTGTAGTTGTTAAAAAGTAAGTTTTATCAAACCTAATATTACTATTAATATTGAGAGTAGTTTGGAACAGCTAGCACTCAGTTCTAGCTCATATAAACTGAAAAACACTGAAACCCTTGCCCCGTCCCCTGCCCTTCTATTTCAATGCCTAATGGTAGTAGCAGGTTTGTCGGGTACTCCCAGTGTAACCAGATTTTTTACATTTTTTACACAAGAGCCAGGTGGATGAACACAGAGAGCCCTGTTGATTTTAATCACACCAAATTTAG